GTGTGTATGTGTGTGTGCGTGTGTGTGTGTGTGTGTATGTGTGTGTATGTGTGTGTGCATGTATGTGTGTGAGTATGTGTGTGTGCATGCTTTTGTCTGCATAAGACGGAATTGGTGTATATTATGTGCATTAGTTCCCCAAAGCTGTGTTAAAAAGAAAGAAAAATGAAAAACGAAGTCCCTCCGACTGTTCCCCTTCTCAAACAGGTGACCTCCTCGGCATTAGCATGGACAGTCTGATGTCACTGATGACTATCCCCACTGGGTGCGGAGAACAGACAGTGGTCAAGTTTGCGCCAAGTGTCTATGTGGCCCAGTACCTCCAAGCCACTGGTCAGCTCACAGATGAGCTGAAGGAACACGTTGTTGACATTCTGATCAAAGGTGAGTTCAAGCATTTCATTTTGGAGGAGAACTCGTCAGTTTTGGAAGAGCGTGGATGAAAGCTGATCAGTTTTGAAAGCATTTGAATAAAAACTCATCAATTTTCAAAGAGGCTTGATGAAAATCTATCAGTTTTGAAAGAGCTTTGATGAAAACACACGTACATCAATTTTGAAAGAGCTGATCAAGGGTGAGTTGAAGCATTTCACTTTGTATGAAAACTCATCAGTTTTAGAAGAGCTTGGATGAATATTCATCAGTTTGGAAAGAGCTTTTATAAAAAGCAAAGCTCCTCAGTTTTGAAAGAGCTTTGATGAAAACTCATCAGTTTTGAAAGAGCCTAGATAAAAGCTCATCAGTTTTGAAAGCATTTGGATGAAAACTCATCAGTTTTGAAAGAGCTTAGATGAAATCACACGTACATCAATGTTGAAAGAGCTGATCAAGGGTGAGTTCAAGCATTTCATTTGAGAAAACTCATCAGTTCTGGAAGAGCTTGGCTGAAAGCTGCTCATTTTTTAAAAGCATTAGAAGGACAACTCATCAGTTTCGGAAGAGCTTTGATGAAAATTCATCAGTTGTGAAAGAGCCTAGATGAAAGCTCATAAGTTTTGAAAGCATTTGGATGAAAACTCATCAGTTTTGAAGGAGCTTTGATGAAAACTCATTAGTTTTGAAAGAGTTTTACGGCTCTTGCAACTACTTAAGTTCATTGTGAGGTCACGGAACTCATGTTCGTTGTTTTCACTTTAGTTCACCTCAGGTTTGGATGTACTTTGTAAAGTCGAAATGGTAGAATATATTTGTTTTAAAAACAGTAGTTCATTTTTTAGAAATAGTACTAACCGCATCTTTGTGATAAAATCTAACATTTTGTTGGGATCAATGATAGAAAAGAAATTCTTTAAATTAGTAAGTGCGTTTAAGATTTTTTCCTTTGGGCTTCTCCTAAGTCCTACATTTAATTAGGATGTGCCTGGTCGTAAGATTCGCTCGGCGTCTGACACAAAATGGTTTCTCTTCTACCTGCAGGCTATCAGAGGCAGCTGATGTACAAGAGACATGACGGGTCATTCAGTGCGTTTGGAAACCTTGACGAGCGTGGAAGTACCTGGTGAGTACATGTATACTGAAGGGTTCCGGTGAAGGAGTGGTTAGGGAGTTCAGACCAAAGAGATCATATCTATCTCTCTGTCTATCTATCTATCTATCTATCTATCTATCTATCTATCTATCTATCTATCTATCT